ATTGACGTGTAAATCAATGATTTCACATTCGAATCCTCATGACATCTTAGTGGTGTGTGTGTGAGAAATCTCACTCTCCTTGTAGGTTAGACTTAAAAAAAAATACATATCGATATGTACGTCCAAAAAGCTTATGCTTTCCTTCATTTGTAACTAAAAGAAGGAACAGATATATCACACACTATTCATGATTGATTAAAAATGGGGTTGGTTGACCTTTTTGCACATAACGAGTCGTGCACGACTTGGAAATGAATCACACGCCAGAGAGAAGTAAAATAAAGAAGGCTTACTTTTTAAGTTGAAGAAAAACCAAGTGGTAGCAGATAATAAATTCTTTATATATACAAGCCACAAAAATTCAATATTGCTGCCTCAAAAGCCACATTTAGATTTTATTCTGCTAATATAGCTAGCGAGGCCTCACTATGTCATCTCAAAGGGTGCAATTGGATATTCAGGACCATCATGTAAGTCTTATAATGCTCTAGGTTTTTTTATGGTCTCGCTGGATCCCGGATGCATGTAATTGTTATTATGTATGACACCCATGTGCTTTGAAGTTTTGAAACCCTAATATGTAGGTCAAGATTCATACAAGTAATTCCCCATAGCTTCTATCCAAAAAAGACCACGCAATCGAAAGTGTTTTTGGTTGTAATATAAAGTGTTTTCAATTCTTCCAGAATCACACTCAAACATGCTCTTAGAGCAACTCCACCCATTTACCCCTTGCCATGGCAAAGGGGGGTGCTAGGGCAGCCACTATTCACGTGAATAGTGGTTGCCCTTGCAAATAGTATATTTTGTGTTTCCACCCGTTGCCATGGCTAAGGGCAATTACTATTCATTTTTTTGTTTTTTTACAAATTTTTTTACCTTAATAATTAATTTGGATAATATTTTCGGATAAGATTTTTGGTGTGGGAAGTGAAAAATATGACTAAGTATTTATTTTTTAAAAATCTGAATTTTTCTTGTTTTTTTCGATTTTTTTCGATTTTTTTAATTAAAAAATTGTTGCTGACGTCAGCAGCCCTCGTTTTGGACCTCAGGCTGAACTGGCCTTCGGGCCAGCCCGAGTTGCGTGGGACCCACTCCAGCCTGTGCTTGGGCTCACCGCTGGAAACCAATTTTTGGGAAAAACTCCCCCAGCCCAAGGCAAGGGGGCCTCGGTGGAACTGCTCTTACTGTTAAAAGCGAAGTGAACGAATTCTCTTTGGTCTTTTTACGAGAGGCTTATCAAGATGGAAAACAAAAATTGAGATTATGAATAACTATCACATATGCAAAATGTTAATTTTATTTATAATGACCCTAGCACATGCTTTTTTTAACTTCTTTTTTTAAAATACAAGCGATAGTCACACCTCATCCCATGACTTGTTACATGCATTTTCCAATTTATTTATTTTACCCTAATAAGCTTTTTTCGGCAATATTAGTGTAATTATTGTTTTATATATATGTCCAAATTAACTAGAATAATAAAGAAAAAGTGTTCATTCATAAGTGTGTTTAACCTTTTGTTGCCATGTACATAGGTAGTTATGGATAATGGCATACTCCAAGTTACCTTGTCAAAACCAGATGGAATTGTTACCAGAATACAATATAATGGCATCGACAATTTGCTTGAAGTTCTCAATGAAGAAGTTAACAGAGGGTAGGGTACCTATACTTCTCCTCGTGACTACTTGCAATTCTTCTTTCTTTCGTTTTTTTGTCAATGTTTGAACCTTTTAAAGGTATTGGGACCTTGTATGGAGTGAAGCTGGAAGTGTGGGCACAACAGGAACGTTTGATGTGTACGTCAAACTACTCTACTTTTAATCATTCACTTTTACCATATTCTGAAGAAATGAATATATGTTATTTTCTTAATTTCCACCACTCAATCATTTGAGTGGACTGATTGACATTGGTTGGACAGGATGGGGTGGCTAAAATGCACTATAATTATTGGTGCCCATTGGGCTATATTTCATTTAACCACCTCATTTTGTACAACTAATATTCTTTTTCGCGATTCTAAGTTGTCTTTTCATCAAAATTTTGAATTATTCACTATACTTTTTTCTTTTTTGGTGAGATGGGGCCAAGAAGGCCAAATTTTGAATTATTTACTATGACAATATTATGGTGTTTTCTTAATTAGTATATTTTGCTTGTATTATCCAATCAAGAATTACTAATATGCAGGATTAAGGGTACAGAATTCGAGGTTATAGTGGAAAGCGATGAACAAGTAGAGGTCTCGTTCACAAGAAAGTGGAATCCCTCTCAAAAGGGCAAGCTTGTCCCTCTAAACATAGACAAAAGGTTTGAAGGCCATATATTTTCTTTTTAACAAGAAGAAAAATAAGCAAGAGTCAAACTTTTTGTGAAATGAGAATAAAGGAAGCTGTAATTGGCCGACACTCCAAAATAGTCGTCATATACTTTTCTCAGTACAATTTCTCTTTCGCAAAATAACGAGGAGTGCAAAAGGACTATTTCGAAATGCTAATAACACATCCCATGTATTTTACAATTATTGTTAACAGTGTTCTGTTGTGATCGACACTAACAAGACTTAGAACATGATTTTTTCAGGTTTATTATGCTTCGTAATTCGTCAGGCTTCTACTCCTACGCCATCTATGATCACTTAAAAGAATGGCCTCCTTTCAACCTTCCCCAGACCAGAATTGTGTTCAAGCTCAGAAAAGAAAAGTAACCAAACCTTTCTTCTTCTTCTTCATTGTTTTCCATCTTTGTGTCAACTTAATTAGGGATTAATTATATATTTTATTTTTTGTGGGTTGATCATTATTAGGTTTCAATACATGGCCATAGCAGATAACAGGCAAAGATACATGCCCCTTCCTGATGACCGATCGCAGGAGAGAAGTAAAGTCTTAGACGTACCTGAGGCAGTCCTTCTTGTCAATCCGATAGAGCCAGAATTCAAGGGAGAGGTAATTAATGCACCTTACAAAACAGCACAAATAAATTCTCATACCCTCTCAGTCAAAGTGAAAATACTCATTACAATTCCATGAAAAGGTTTAAAACGAGGGATATTTGGAATTTTTAATTGGCCTTCATCATAAGATGTTAATTTCTTGTAAGAATCATATATAGATTTGATAATATAAGAAAAGTAGACCTATGCCAAGAGAAATACTTACATGAAACGGGGATAACACTATTTTGCTATTTCCAGCCAATCACAATATGCCACGCGTGATAACTTTTCCACGTTGTAGATTGTGATTGGCCGGGGATAGCAAAACAGTGTTATCTCCGTTTCATACAAGTTTTTCTGGCCAGTGGGATATAACTCAGTTGGTTGGGTTTTTCCATCTCCACTCATGTGGCATGGGCAGAGGTTCGAAACCTCCATGCACCCAATGATTATTTGTGTAAACCTCCCTCCCCCTCCCCCCTCTCCAGTTGCTTGTACTAAAAAATAAAGTCAAGAAAAACCTTTTTTTGGGGCAAAAGGAAAAACTGATATTTCAAATCCCTCATTTTCTTCAATAACAAAATATTTATGTGGATTTTATGAATTCTATAAGAAATTAATATTTCTAAAGTCCAATTAATAAATTTTATGTCCATTACCAAATTTTAAATCTTCTAATCCAAATGATACTATTTTTTATGTTTCTTTTTTTTTTTTAAATAATTGACATGATGCATGCAACTTAAAATTTTGATAATTTTGTGTATATTTGGAAATTAAAACATTTATTCTTTTGGCCAAAAAATGATAACTTTTCACAAATTCATAAAAGCTTAGAATTACAATTAGAATAACAAAATTTTATGTCTCCTGAACACAATTGTAGGTGGATGACAAATACGAGTACTCAAGCGAGAACCAAAACCTGCGGGTCCACGGTTGGATTTGTATGGACCCGCCTGTGGGGTTCTGGCAAATAACTCCCAGTGATGAGTTCCGATCTGGTGGACCCCTCAAACAGAATCTCACCTCCCATGTTGGCCCCACTTGTCTTGCTGTGAGTAAAATTAACTTCCTTTTTACCATAATCATTTATTCAAAACCAATAATCCTAGGGCATCAACTCATAACTTTTCAGAAGTTCAAAATGATGTGGCAATAATTTATTTATTTATACATATTTTTTAGCAATTTAATTTCATGTATTTACAATTCTTAAGCAACTGTCATATTATATGACTCATCAGTTGGTATTAAAATGTTGCGATACGAGCTGATACCCGTAATTCTGCTTTATTTTTTTGTTAAGTTCAAGTTCATGAAATTTGGTATTATAATATGTAGTGATTTTCACCCTCTCATTTTCTTGTTATGCACTCGTTCCCTCGATTTTGCTCTTGATTTGCTTTTTATTTATTCAATCCTAAGGTTAGAACAAACTATCTTAGGATCATCTATGTTACACTTTATTTTTTTCTTTTTCAAATAAACTATCTTGAACTGTACTAACCTGTGGAAAAATAAAATAAAAAAATCAGATGTTTCTTAGTGCTCACTATTCGGGAGAGGACCTGGTGCTGAAGCTGAAACCAGATGAGCCATGGAAGAAAGTCTTTGGCCCTGTTTTCATCTATCTTAATTCTCTTACGTCCAATGCAAATGATGATCCATCACCACTCTGGGAGGATGCAAAACACCAGGTTTAATTTTTAAAACAAAAAACCCATCTACAAGATTTATATTAAACCACTAATTTCCCATTTTTTTATGAACAATGTGTTTTACTTTTGGACTCCAGATGATGACAGAAGTGCAAAAATGGCCTTACGATTTCTCTAAGACGACGGTTATTAACTATAAAACTGACGTAATTTTACATTTTAGTTTTTTTTTCTTGTTTCAAATGGTATCAGAAATATATACTCAAATATGCTATTACCCACGCCATACATATATATACTCAAAAATTGTTTATTTCATAAACAGAATATCAAGAGTACAGTAGAACAAAATAAAATCTAAAAAATGAAAGTACTCTAAGGCAGCTAGCTGCAAGCCTAATTACAATAATACACCAAAATTCCTATACCTAATTATCCTTCAAGTCAAGTTCTCCATATGTATACAGAGCTATACATTCATCATCACCAATTTTCCTCTGCATTTCTTCAACTTTTACCACTAGGAGTAGCTTCTTTAGTACAATTTTCTCCTAACAAGACCTACATCTAGTACTCCTCATCCAAGCCTTCCTCTCATCCAAACATACAATTGATGCACAATTGAAGTCTACTCCATCATCCCTGTAAATAAATCAAAATGACAAAGAAAAAAAGGCTAAGATTACAAACAAATAAAATTAGATGAAAGAGAAATTTTACTTCACAGAAGTATGCAGTATTTCTAAGGGCCAGGAGATATACAGGTACATAAATTTCAGTTCGTCAACTGTCAGCCTAGAATCTCAATGACTTGGGCTAGCAAGTATACATGCATTTCACAAGCCAAAAATATAATAAAACAATTTAAACATGCCCAGCCTTGTTAGCAGGCCTTGAATTTTCCCAAATTGAACAAATGAAGAAGGTTAGTATTATCATCTAATCTTAGTCCTAGTTCTAAGGTTAATGCTTTATCATCTAAACTTTGTTGATTGAACAGTAGAAATCTATACCATACATAAAAAAAGAATGATCAGTTAACAAAACCTTTCTTTTTGATAAGACACATATGTGTTTAACTGAACTACTCCAATTATCTATAATCAATACCTAAATCCAAACCTATAACCCATACCAACAGCAGCAAATCTGAACTCAAAAACAAAGATTCCTTTAATTCTTTTAAAGAAACATACAGCTAGTCGAAGGTGATGAACTTGATTGGCCATGCAGGGTCTTGCATCTATAGCTACTCTTTCAACGGCAGCAAATCCATCTGCCTGTGGAATAGGAAGAAAGAAAGTTTGATAAAACTCGCTTAGATTCAGAAACCACTAGTACTTGCAAATGAAGCTCGACAGGAACTATTGGACAGAATATATGTAAAGCCAATACAAGATTGGTTGATGGATAAAAGTAGCAACTGACTTAATCAGAAAGTTAGAGGTGCAAGTAAAGCAGGGCATAAGAGTCGAGGCTTAAAGCGTATAATGTGTCAGAAAAAATGGAAACAACAAGAAATAGAAAGTAATTGTGAAAATAAAATAATGTAGATTATAACTCAATTGGAGATGTCTTCGAACCATAGCTGCATTAGTAATATATATGTCAGATTTCATAACCATCTGACTATCCAAACTGAAAGATAACAAAAGCAGCAAGTCTGCAGTAGCAAGATTAATACCAAGTCCTCCAGCTCTGATAGAAACACTGGAAGCAATGGCTTAAGTGCTTTTGGTGAACAAAATCCAGGTATGAGAATTGCTCCTCCCTGCAAGGTCACAAACATAACATATTAGGATTAATATAGACCATTCACTGGAAAACATTTAATATATGAAGCAAGGGAACTGAACTTACAAACCCTTGAGAAAGCTTCCCAAGAAACCTGTTGAACAGAAGCTAACATACAATGTTATACACTTGGAGTCAATAACAGAACATGAAATACTCGACTATCATTGACAGCTATAACAAGCTCAGCTATAATCAGCTTCAATGCTTCACGAACTAAAAACAATAAAGCATGCATCTTTGTTTTCTGTTTTTTTTTTTCAGTCATTAAAATTAGGGACTTTCAAAGGAATTAAGGAAACAAAGAGGGCCTTACTTGCATCGATGTTCGGCTTTGGGGAGCTTCGAACGGAAATTTTCTCAACCATGGATCTATTAAATTTATCTTCTCTGTTCCTCTGCCCTGCCCTGCTCTTTTGATAATTACCAAAATCAACAACCCAATGAGTGCAGCCGCACACACAACACGAAGAGAATAGAGAGAGAGAGAGAGAGAGAGAGAGTTTGGCTACCCATGAGAATCCCGGAGAGTCTGAGATCCATGGGAACTGAAGGATTCAAAAGATCCTCGCTGCAAACAAAAAATCATGAAAATTTGCATCGGATTTTTAGACAACAAATCAGAAGAAGCCTAAGCAAACTCCTAGAAAAGTAACTTCGTACCTTTCTGGTCCACGAGGAAGAAGATCTAATCTAAAGCTTATGAATTGGAAGATGGGAATCCAGATGGGGGCTTAAAAATGATCGCGATGAGGAAGGGTAGGTTCCATGGGCAGCGCGAGGGAGATGACGAACGCGGCAAGATCGGTGACCTGAACGGCTCGACGGAGATGGCGATCAAGGCAAGTTCGGTGGACGGCGCGAGGGAGATGTGCTTCATAGATGTGAGAAAGGGTTTTCTTCTGAAAGGTCGTGATGTAGTACAGTGTTTGAGAGAGCGTGGGTTTTCTGAAAAGCTCGCGCTCGCGAACTTAAAAGTTAAATTTTGTTTAGCGCCTCTTAAAAACACGACGGTTGTAATAAGATATCGTCGTAACTATATAAATTAACCCGAAGCATCAGCGTATTAGGCACCTTATCACGACGGTATTATAACACTCGTCGTCTTTTAAAATACCACGACAGTTTTTATATAAACGGTCGTCTATTGGGTGTCATTGTTTAACATAATTGTAGTAGTGGGTGGTTGTTTTGGTGTCTGGAGTAGTTGGGTTCGCTGGGTATGGGGCTTAGAGGAGAGAATTTTTAATTTTTAATATAATTTTAATTTTTTTATTAAAAAGTAGAGAATTTTTAATTATATATTTGTCTACATGGAAGTCTACGTCAATTAAAAAATAGCTAGCTTGACTTCCCAGGCAGTCTAGAAAACTCAAGCTCCAGGATCAGCTCCTTCAATCACTCAACACAAGGCCCTTTCTGGTTGTCCAAGCAACACCAAATTAACTTCAACAATTAGTTAATTAGTAGTTGCCTATAACTTGAGATTAGACGCATCAAGAATATTTGGTGATGTTTGCAAATCTCTAGCTAGCCAGGAACACAGTCTAGCCAAGTGAAAAATGACATTACCGTGTAAATAAGTGATTTCATATTTGAATCCCTATAACATCTCAGTAAAGTGTGCGTAGAAATCTCACTTTCCTTTTAGGTTAGACTTGAAAAAAAAATACATATCGATCTGTACTTCCGAAAAGCTTATGCTTTGCTTCATTTGTAACTAAAAGAAGGAACAGAAATTATCACAAACTGTTCATGATTGATTAAAAATGGGGTTGTTTGGTGTGCTTTTTAGCTTTTTGCACATAACGAGTCTTGCACGACTGAGTTGGAAATGAATCACACGCCAGAGAGAAGTAAAAGAAAAGAAGGCTTACTTTTAAAGTTGAAGAATAACCAAGTGGTAGCAGATAAGGAATTCTTTATATATAAAGCCACAAAAATTCAACATTGCTGCCTCAAAAGCCACATTTAGATTTTCTTCCGCTAATATAGCTAGCGAGGCCTCAATATGTCATCTCAAAGGGTGCAAATGGATATTCAGGACCGTCATGTAAGTCTTATATATGCTCTAGGTTTTTTTTTATATGGGCTCGCTGGATCCTGGATGCATGTAATTGTTATTACGTATGACACCTATGCTTTGAAGTTTTGAAACCCTAATATGTAGTTCAAGATTCATACAAGTAATTGCCCATAGTTTCTATTTGTAAAAAGACCACGCAATCGAAGGAAGTGTTTTTGGTTGTAATAAAGTGCTTTCATGAATTCTACCAGAATCACACTCAAACATGCTCTTATTGTTAAAAGCGAAGTGAACGAATTCTCTTCGGTCGGTCAAGGCTTATCAAGATGGAAAACAAAAATTGAGATTGTGAATAACTATCACATGCAAACTATGATAGTTACTATCATGTTTATTTTATTTATAATGACCCTAGCACATCTTCTCTTTTTTTTTTTTAATACTTATGTTTTAATACAAGCGATAGTCACACCTCATGCAGTGAGTCATAGTTGTTACATGCCTTTTCCAATTATTATTTTTACCCTAATAAGCTTTTTTCGGCAGTATTGTTGTAATTATTGTTTTATATATGTCCAAATAAACAAGAAGAATAAAGAAAAAGTGTTAATGGTTAAAAATGTTATTGGTTCATAAGTGTGTTAAACCTTTTTTGCCATGTAACATAGGTAGTTATGGATAATGGCATACTCCAAGTTACCTTGTCAAAACCAGATGGAATTGTTACCAGAATACAATATAATGGCATCGACAATTTGCTTGAAGTTCTTAGTGACGAAGTTGACAGAGGGTAGGGTACTTGCAATCCTTCTTTCTTTCGTGTTTTTTGTCAATGCTGAAGGAGAGAATAAAGAAGAGTTCACTATTCTGATAGTTTGAATTTTTAAAGGTATTGGGACCTTGTATGGAGTGAAGCTGGAAGTGTGGGCACAACGGGAACGTTTGATGTGTACGTCAAACTACTCTACTTTTAATCATTCTCTTTTACCATATTCTAGAAATGAATGTATGTTACTTTCTTAATTTCCACCATTCAATCATTTGAGTAGAGTGATTGACATTGGTTGGACAGGATGGGGTGGCTAAAATGCACTATAAGTGGCGCTATTAGCTAATCCTAATAGCGACAATTATTATTGGTGCTCATTGTGCTATATATTTCACTTAGGCTAAAAGTCACTTTTGGTCTATGTAGTTTGGCACTTCAACCACTTTTGACCCTGTAGTTTCAATTCCGTCAATTTTGACCATGTAGTTTCATATTTGTAGCAATTCAAGGACAAGTTAATATTCCTGTCAATTTCTTTGACGATGCAATGGGCAATTTTGTCAATCCAAAATCCTTGAGCATAAAAGCTTGTTTGAAACTCCCATAATTTTATATTAGGGCTTGAAATTGGTCATTTGGTTTAGGGTTCTTCAAAAATTGGGATTAGTGGTTGAATTTCGAGCCCTAATATGAAGTGGGGAGAATTTCAAACAAACTTTTACGCTCAAGGGTTTTGGGTTGACAAAATTGCCCCTTGCATCGTTAACGAAATTGACACAAATACTAATATGTCCTTGAATTGCTACAAATACGAAACTACAATGGCAAAATTGACGAAATTGAAACTACATGATTAAAAATGGGTGAAATGCCAAACTACAGTGACCAAAGGTGACTTTTGGCCTTTCACTTAATATTCTTTATCGCGATATGTCGGATTCTAAGTTGTCTTTTCATCAAAATTTTGAATTATTTACTATAACAATGTTATGGTGTTTTCTTAATTAGTATATTTTGTTTGTATTATCCAATCAAGAAGTACTAAAATGCAGGATTAAGGGTACAAAATTCGAGGTTATAGTGGAAAGCGATGAACAAGTAGAGGTCTCGTTCACAAGAAAGTGGAATCCCTCCCAAAAGGGCAAGCTTGTCCCTTTAAACATAGACAAAAGGTTTGAAGGCCATATATTTTCTTTTTAACAAGAAGAAAAATAAGCAAGAGTCAAACTTTTTGTGAAATGAGAATAAAGGAAGCTGTAATTGGCCGACACTCCAAAATAGTCGTCATATACTTTTCTCAGTACAATTTCTCTTTCGCAAAATAACGAGGAGTGCAAAAGGACTATTTAGAAATGCTAATAACACATCCCAAGTATTTTACGATTATTGTTAACATTGTTTTGTTGCGATCGACACTAACAAGACTGAGAACATGATTTTTTTTCAGGTTTATTATGCTTCGTAATTCGTCAGGCTTCTACTCCTACGCCATCTATGATCACTTAAAAGAATGGCCTCCTTTCAACCTTCCCCAGACCAGAATTGTGTTCAAGCTCAGAAAAGAAAAGTAACCAAACCTTTCTTCTTCTTCTTCATTGTTTTCCATCTTTGTGTCAACTTAATTAGGGATTAATTATATATTTTATTTTTTGTGGGTTGATCATTATTAGGTTTCAATACATGGCCATAGCAGATAACAGGCAAAGATACATGCCCCTTCCTGATGACCGATCGCAGGAGAGAAGTAAAGTCTTAGACGTACCTGAGGCAGTCCTTCTTGTCAATCCGATAGAGCCAGAATTCAAGGGAGAGGTAATTAATGCACCTTTTCAAGACAGCACAAATATATTCTCATACACTCTCTGTAAAAGTGAAAATACTCATTACAATTGGATGAAAAGGTTTAAAACGAGGGATATAAGAAAAGTAGAGCTATGTCTGTGGGTATAACTCAATTGGTTGAGTTTTTCCACCTCCATTCATGTGAGCAGAGGTTCGAAAATCCCCAGGCACCCAATGAATATTTGTGTAAACTCCCATCTGCTCCCCCAGTTGCTTCTACTAAAAAATAGAATCAAGAAAAACCTCTTTCTTTTTTTTCTTTTTTTTGCCAAAAGAAAAAACTGATATTTCAAATCCCTCATTTTCTTCAATAACAAAATATTTATGTGGATTTTATGAATTCTATAAGAAATTAATATTTCTAAAGTCCAATTAATAAATTTTATGTCCATTACCATATTTATATCTTGTAATCCAAATGATACTTTTTTTTATTATGGTTTTTTGAAATAATTGGCATGCTTCATGCAACTTAAAATTTTGATAATTTTGTGTATATTTGGAAATTAAAACATGTATTCTTTTGGTATAATAAGGATCACAAATATATTTTCAAACTTATAAAATTGAAATATTTATCATTTTAATTTCGTTTATCACCATTAAAATGATAACTTTTCACAAATTCATAAAAAGCTTAGAATTACAATTAGAATAACAAAATTTTATGTCTCCTGAACACAATTGTAGGTGGATGACAAATACGAGTACTCAAGCGAGAACCAAAACCTGCGGATCCACGGTTGGATTTGTATGGACCCGCCTGTGGGGTTCTGGCAAATAACTCCCAGTGATGAGTTCCGATCTGGTGGACCCCTCAAACAGAATCTCACCTCCCATGTTGGCCCCTATTGTCTTGCTGTGAGTAAAATTAACTTCCTTTTACCATAATAATCATATTCAAAACCAAAAATCCTAGGGCATCAACTCATAACTTTTCAGAAGTTCGAAATGATGTGGCAATAATTGATTTGTTTATATATATTTTTTAGCAGCTTAATTTTATATATTTATAATATTTAAGCAATTGTATGTGACTCATTAGTTGGTATTAAAATGTTATGAGCTGATACTCGTAATTCTACTTTAATTTTTTGTTCAGTTCAAGTTCATAAAATTTGGTATTATAATAGGTAGTGATTTTCACGCTCTCGAGTCTCATTTTCTCATTATGCACTCGTTCCCTTGGTTTTACTCCTTGATTCGCTTTTTATTTATTCAATCATAAGGTTAGAAAAAAAATATATATCTTAGGATCATTTATGTTACACTTCATTTTTTTTTCTTTTACAAATAAACTGTCTTGAATCGTACTAACCTGTGGAAAATGAATTTTCTCCTCATTTTAATTTATCCGTGATACTGATCAAAATGAAAAAATGAAAAAAAATAATTAAAAAATCAGATGTTTCTTAGTGCTCACTATTCGGGAGAGGACTTGGTGCTGAAGCTGAAACCAGATGAGCCATGGAAGAAAGTCTTTGGCCCTGTTTTTATCTATCTTAATTCTGCTACGTCCAATGCAAATGATGATCCATCACCACTCTGGGAGGATGCAAAACACCAGGTTTAATTTTTAAAACAAAACCCCAAGTATTTATATTAAACAAATCATTTCCCATTTTTACGGACAGTGTATTTTACTTTTGGAGTACTCCAGATGATGACAGAAGTGCAAAAATGGCCTTACGATTTCCCTGCTTCCAGTGAGTTTCCACCGTCGGATCAACGGGGTAATGTTAGTGGTAGAATACAGGTTCGAGATAGGTACTTAACCAAATCAACCTTTTCTCCTGTTGTTGAAGAATGTAAAATTGACGTGAAATTGAGGTTTATTATGTGGTGATTCCACATAAGTGAGCGAGTTGAAAAATACAAAATCTCATATCAGAAACATGATAAGAGATATAGCAAATGATTTTACGACTATTAATTTCGAGACATTCTGTAATAAAACTACTACTTGTCACCCAAATTAGTTTGTTAGTATTAGAACGGACTTGATTGACTGCGCTTGAATTACTAAATTATTACTTTCACCCAAATTAGTTTGTTAGTATTAGAACGGACTTGATTGACTGCGCTTGAATTACTAAATTATTACTTTGAATTTCCACTACATTATCGTCTAAATACTATACATGTCTAGGTACGTTAGTGAAGATTGCATTCCGGGAAAGGGTGCTTATGTAGGCTTGGCACCACCAGGAGATGCTGGATCCTTTCAAAGAGATTGCAAGGTGATATTATTTTGTCCATTTTATTACCAAGCAAGAAATGCATTAATTCCACACTAACCCAAAAAACGAAACAAAACAAGTCCCCGCTGTACATAAAATAGATCATTGAGGCAAATCTTCTTCATTTTTAGTGTTTGCATTGTGGCAGGGCTACCAGTTCTGGACTAGGGCAGATGAGCATGGCTATTACTCTATAAAGAATATACGTGAGGGCCAATATAATCTTTATGCATGGGTTCCTGGTTTCATTGGAGATTATCGATATGATGCAGCCATTAACATAACCGCAGGTCCATCTATTATTTTTCTTCCTTTTTAATTGTTTCCTCTTCAAGATTATTATCAATATGATTAACACATTAATGCATTTAAATTAAGCAGGTTGTGATAGTGATGTGGGTGAGCTTGTATATGAACCTCCAAGAGATGGACCAACATTGTGGGAAATTGGCATCCCTGATCGTTCTGCAGCTGAATTCTATGTCCCTGATCCTAATCCAAACTATATCAATAAACTTTATGTTAACCATCCTGACAGGTTACCTTTGACATCAGTTATATATCTGAGCTCTCTCTCTCTCTCACCCAATTCTTTGACGAATTTATTTCGGATTGATCAACATGGGTGCTAGAAATAAAGTATGTGTTTACAAATGCTTATATTGCTAGACGGTGAATATTCGCAGTTTGAAAACATAAGCGCCATTTTATGTAGAAAAACAAAATGACAAGAGGGCATTTTTCTCATCTACAAATGTGTAGACATGTTCCACTACATTATAAGATGTGGATCATTTTCTTGCATTTGCAGGTTTAGGCAGTATGGGTTATGGGAAAGATATGCAGATTTATATCCTGATCAAGACTTAATTTACACTGTTGGCACCAGTGACTATGCTAAAGATTGGTTCTTCGCTCAGGTTACCAGGTGCACTTCTTCGTCCTTTCTTGACCTTACTTTTCCAATGTGCCAATTTTTGTGTGAGTTTGATTCTATTTGACAGGGTTTTCATAAATAGGAAGAAAGATGATGACACATATGAAGGCACTACTTGGCAGATCAAGTTTCAACTAGACAATGTCAATAAGAGTGGAACCTTCAAACTTCGAATCTCCCTCGCTACGGCGAATATCGCAGAATTACAGGTAAAATGCCTAATTACCCTTCTTTGTTTCGGCACTAGTCAATATATCAAAAGCCTAATCTGATTCTTTGGTTCTTTCTGTTTTTCCATTGAAGATTCGGATAAATGACCCGAAAGCAGACCCTCCTCTGTTTACAACAGGAGTGATTGGAAAGGACAACACAATTCTAAGGCATGGAATTCATGGCCTCTACTGGCTGTATAGCATAGACATACCAGCCACATTGCTTGTGGAAGGAAACAATACACTGTTTCTAACACAACCAATTAGCGACAGCCCTTTGCCCGCTTTCCATGGACTCATGTATGACTATATTCGTTTAGAAGGTCCACCATCTTCTACTTCCACTAGAGGTGTCAAACCGGCCAATATAGCACCAAACACATCACTGGATTAGTGTTATTCTCTCCGATTTCTTGTAATCCAATACGATCCAATTCTATCGCATAATCCAATCCAATCCCAACCGCCAAAAATTTGTTGAATCATCAAATATGTGAATGTTATGAGTTTAATTCATTGTTGGGATGTGAAGTTGTGAACTAACAATTTGTTTCTAAATTCTGAGAGAATTGATATCTTGGAGAAAATAAAAATAAAAATAAAACTCCCAAGTGAAAGATCAGAATAGTGAAATCAAACAATATAAATATAAACTAGTTGTGAGAGCATGAATTTAATTAATTACGCAGATTTGCTGTTGCTGAGTTTCTTTTTTGTTTCCTCAGCTGCATCGGCAGCTTCAACTTGCATTTTGCTTGTGCGAAGCTCTGCTTCCGTTGCTTCTTGCTCGTTTCTTGCCGTCAACTTCTTAGCCTGACCAACGAAGAAGGCCTTAAGATTGCGAAAACCCTCTTGCAAAGAAACATAGAAAAACAGGCAATCTTTCTTCATGCGAGAGATCATGCCTGTGTTTGATGAGGTTGACGATGACGATGACGATGCATTCATCCCTTCCATTTCCTTTGCTTTCAGCAATAATGTATGAGAAATTGGCAGGATATATAAATATCTTATGCAGTTCCGGGTTGAACACGTTTTGTAAGCTGTGCAGAGTCACAGGGTATGTGGCAGCTAAACGGCACATCCACGTTTAGAAAAGTGGTGCTTGCTTGTGAAATGAAAAATGATGGGCTGGGTTGAGTTTGCATGGGTGTTCGGCTTTTCTATTTGTTGTGGGCTTGAGGCTAAGAGCATCTCTAATTTACATGTTTTTTGTTCTAATGAGGGATGAAAACTTGGAGATGTAAATTTATATTTTCATGTATTAATTTGTTTTCGTTCTAATTTATTTTGTGTTCGCTTTCGTTTTTTTCCCCAAACAAATTCTAAAAAATTTAAAGTTTAGTATGACATATGAAACAAAGGGATAAATTCATTATGTGCTATTTCGGAATTCTAAGTTCGCACGACGACTTTTTGCTTTACTCTTCACTCATATTTGCTTTAAGTTCTTGAGGGGCGTGCAACATATGTTCAATTTAGTGTCAATGATACTAAATACATCCAGAGATACTATCTTGTTGATGAGATATACCCAAGATGGGTAAATATCATCCAACTTTTATTTAATGTATGACATTATTTTAGTAATATTTGAGATTGTTTTGAGTACTCTTTTCCTTGATAAATATGTTGATAGTGGGTGTGATTGCCCAAAAATAAATACAAATATTTTACTCCAAAAAAAATTTGGAAGAATTCAATTCAATGTGCAAATAGAAGTTCCCTCTTATTATTATTATTATTATTATGTTAATTTTAAGAACAAAAGAAACCGAGAGAAGGGTATATCAGTAATTTGGCCCAGTCCCCATTCCGTCGCGACTATATATACCCCTGAGCTACAAAAGCTAGGTATAAAAAGCCCCAAATTTCTGCGCCCGCAAGGCTCGCGAAGAACCAACGTTCACAGAGAGCGAACCTTTCACAACACAAACCCGAAAATCTCCTACAGCGTCGCCACCAATCCGTAACTTCAATTCTCTCTCGATTTCAACTCCTCAGTTGATTTCTTCTTATCATATCTTACACCGATTCAATCTGGAACGCTGAAATTTAGTTTCTTTGTGTGAATGTTGTGACAGATCGAAGAACATGGCGACGTTTGAGCTCTACAGGAGGTCGACGATCGGAATGTGTTTGACTGAGACTTTGGATGAGATGGTTCAGAACGGTACTCTCAGTCCCGAGCTCGCCATTCAGGTTCTCGTTCAGTTCGACAAGGTACTGTCTTTGCTTTCGTTTTCTTATTTTCCGTTTAGTTTTTATGCATTTGTTCATTTAACTATTATTATTATAATGATTTACCTTTCTGATGGGTTTGTGGGTTGCCATAGTCAATGACTGAAGCATTGGAAACCCAAGTGAAGAGCAAGGTCAGCATCAAGGTAACTTTCTTTCTTTCACTTTTGCATTTCTGGTTTTTCATGAAGTCAGGTCTTGGGATTTGTGTAGATTGATGGGTTTATTGTGCTGCTCTAGATCTTTCAGACTGTAAATGTGGGTGCTTATGGAAGCCGAGTGAATAATGATTATGTATTTGAGTGAATTTGTCTTAGAGCAGTTAGTTTGATGTGGTAGTGAATTGATTTTTCCGTGTATTATGTATTGTCATCTGTTTCCTTGTTCATATTTACAAAGTGCTTCTTTGGCTGGTTTATTAGTATTGTGTAGGTTGTAACTAGATTTTTCATTGCCCTACATGTGCCCGTATTTGAATCGGAGTACACAATAGTCATTCAAGGCATGGCCTTTTCTCTTTAGATGTACACAATAGTCATTGAGGGCATGGCCTTTTCTCTTTTCTTTTTGGTTTTTGAGCTTTTTGGTTTCTTCGACAAGGTAAGGGTATCGTGTACTAATTAATTGAGTGAATTTTTGGTATGTTTATGGGCATGTGTAATGAATCAAGTGGGCAGATTTTTAGCATGCTTATGGGCATTGATTGTTGAGCACTTTCAGGATATCCCTTATTGTTTAACCCATCTTGATTGGCTGGGAGTTGCGGATTAGTTGTAATGGTTCTCAGATAATATTCTGTATTCTATGTCGGACATTGATGAACAAGAGGACTTCTTGTTGGTATTTTCGTGTAATTTTTTCTCATCCTTCATGTTTCATAAACAAATTTAGTTTCGAAGCCGAAATTTAATATATGACTTGCTCCTTCAAATCTTAAAGGGACATGGCCAATCCCCAATCGTAAGATTTTTCAAAACTGGAGTTGAGTAAAACTATTTAGAAGTTCCTTTACTCAATGGAATTTTAATATTCTTGCAATCCATAAATAAATTCGTAACTAAAATCATCAACCAAGCTCTCTGTTTCCTTGATGCAAGGCCTAAACCTTATGCTGTAACTTCATATTTGAATTTTGAACTTCACGATGTCTTTCAGAATTCTTTAAGATAACAGAAACCTGCCAAGCAATAAATTTAGGGACATTCTTGATTATTTGGGACCTGTTCTTTTGGAGGTCCTTAAACTGCATCTCGAGTCTCTATTTAAGTCAAGGGGTGCTTTTTTCTTTGTTTGTACTTACAACCTTACAAGTCCACCGTAATCTTTTTTCTCCATATAATAAATATGTGACTAAATGAATAACTATGTAAGTGAAAAAATATAAACAAAATAACACCTCTTTCCTTTGTTTGTATTTTTCTTCCATTGTTTCTTTTATTTGAATTACTTCCATTAGCTTCAAAAAACGTCTTTTTATCTTATGTTATGACAAACTGACTGTGCTTGTTGGCATACACCTTAACATGAAATGCAATAAGTAAATGTGGGCCCAGGGCGAATGCTTACGTGTGCCTAGATAGATTTATGTAACATAAATGAGGTCTTGGTGCTCTAGGCATATAGTATAGTCAAAGTTGTATGCATGCATACTTTTAAATCTAGCATTGAATGATGATTCCATTTACATAATGTGCTACCAAACTTTCATTTCTTACTGTCAGATAATTAATATTCTAATAGATCTAGTTTATCTAATAAATGTACGACACGAAGGTGTGTCCCTGTGTCAATTAGGTTCCTTTTTTGGAAGTGTTGGGTCATCAGTAACTGGTCCCGCTTCTGGCTATGAAACCTTGAAGTTAGTAGTATGAAAGGGCTAATCTGTGTTCTAGAAAACGAGGTTCATATTTTCCTTCAAGTAATTGTGCCAATGGTTATTGATCCGATTATTAGCCTACGAAAGCTTTACATTGACAGTATAAAATCAATTTCTGAACGGAAGTTTGTTAGCGTGAAAGCTATTGAGTTCCTACCCTTAGGGAGCCTGCCAGCATATATAGGGCTTGGCCCTTAAAGAGATGATAGCAAGAATCGTGCAATCTTCTTGCCTGCCAACGCGTCATATTTATTTAAAGATATTAACTTGTCAGCTATCTTCTGTTGAAAATTCTGTCAAATTATGTCTTGGTAGTTTTCCAGTAGTAGAATCTGATCTGGTTGTAAGTCCTTTATCTAGTCTTTTCTTTATTTAGATCTGACTCTATATGAGGATGTGGCATGACATATGCACAAATATCAGGTTAACAGATTTGATATGCCAAAGTCATTAGTGGATAGAAAATTTTGAAGGGGCTTACTTTGAGGAAGTATGATGTATGCACAAAAAGATTTAAGCAGGTGTTCTAGGTTTATCCCTTTTTTCTGTCAGTGTTGTTACTGTTTAGTATCTCATGCAACAAAATTTTCTAATTAAAGAAAAAAATGTACCCCGACCAAAAATTGCAGTCTGCTGTCAACTAGTTCTCATCTGCACAACATAATTCCTTCCTGATGTAATTGCGATGATGAATCTCTACTCAGATGCTTTGTTGCCTGTGGACTTCTGTTCTTGTAGTATCTCATATTTCTATCACGATGCACAAATAAATATCAGTTGTAGACAGAGTTAAGACGGATGTGAAATCGGAACTTTTTCTGACAAAATTTCATTGTCTCCTGTTACAGGGACATCTGCACACCTACAGATTCTGCGACAATGTTTGGACCTTCATCTTACAGGATGCTGTGTTCAAGAACGAGGATAGCTCGGAAAATGTTGGCCGTGTTAAAATAGTGGCATGTGACTCAAAGCTGCTCACACAATGAGATGTCAGACTAGTGGTGGTAAAGTTAAATAAGAACTTTGTAACCTGTTGCCATGGAGGGTGAGGAGAAGGTGGCAGTTAATCTGGTTACTTGCAGGAACTGGAAAACTCTAGGAGATTGAACATAAAATTGTAAAGCCCTCTATCTTGACACTTGTAGTTATTTGTTGTTACATTGAGGATGGTGTGTGCTTGTTCATAGATCTTCGTTCAATGTTCTATTGTTGTTTTGAGAAGATGAAACAAGTTAGAGATGAACACGTTCGATGCTTGTATTATGGACTGTCTATTCACAAGTACTGAAATTATGCTTAATTCATCAAGCATTTCGGATGCCCGAATGTGTAGCATCTGTTCCTTGTATTATCTTCAGAGGTCTAAGTTACCTTTTGTTTAATTGATTAGAAAAATCAGTGTTGTGAGCAATTGTGCAAAGTTCTGGTGTGTCTCTATTTATTATTTACACCAAACAATTTTACTCTTTTCCAAATCTGCACAATTTTTTTTCTCTTTTCTCTTTCAGTCGTAGATGTCATTATGAAACGACGTGTTAAGAAAACCTCACTTCTACTTAATTTCTCTTTTACCCTACAATTGACCTTAATTGGTGGAAGTGTTGTTAGTTGAAATTTACTTTTGGAAATTGTGTAGCATGTCCCAAATACACATGACAAATGATGTCCAAACTATTTTACCAAAAAAAACATAGATAAATTGTAATTATATTATAGGCTAAATGAGGAAAGATAACGTGTCGTTATCGCGTTTTATTCATGAACACTTGCCTAATTCATAAACTAACGCATTATTGTAGTATCAACCGGTTATCAGCCCAACTCGATAAAATCTAATCCGAACATTTAAATTTTTTCGTGCGTGATCATGGTATGTAATTGTGTTTTCCCTTATTTTGCCAGATATACCCTTTACATGCAGAACACTACTCACTAGTCACGCTACTTATGTCGGAAGAAACGGCACCGTTTAGAGGCCCACGCCAAAGCGCGCCAAGTTGAACGTCGCTCAGCTCAAACTCTGCAAAACAATTTGAATCGTCAAAAGATGGTGCTTCAGAATCAAATTAACGGCTTTTTTTCTCAGTGGGGAGCTCAGAATCAGCGATCGTTTTCAATGCCGCTCTGTCTTAAAATCTGCCGCTCAAAGCTACTTCAACTTCAGCATCCAATTCTCTGCCCCCCTTTTATTATCCTCCACAAACCCAATTCGAAAAACCCACAAAAACAAACCAAACTCTCCTCAATTTCTCGGGTTTTCGAGGGCTCGTTGATTGAACCTCAGCCGCCATGGCAGCCTCCAGTTCATCGCAGTCCCCTGTTCCTCGGCTCCATCATTTTGAGCTCGTTGAACGCATGAAGCTTCAGGTAATTAGTCAAAACTATCAAAAGGAAAGTGTTTTCTTTTATTGTCTCTGATGTCATGGTCTTGTTGTGTAGATTAATGTCTCTGGGTCTTCTAAAGGACGCAATGTTAGGCTTGAATTTCAGCTCAGCAACTGTGCCAACAGTTGGATTCTTCACTGGGGCTGTCTTTTCCGTGGAAATATGTAAATCCCCAATGAATCCCCAATTATTTATTTATTTATTTAATTTCTTCCTGTTGTGATCTCATATGAAATTTTGATGACCATCTACAGGAACTGGTTCATTCCCAATGATCGTTCTTCGGGTTCACAAGCTTACAAGCAAGGCTCATTGCAGACGCCATTCACCAAGGTCCTTCAAAACCAATTTCTCTATATAAAATAAACAGAAAGTTTTACACCACGTCTTATAGAGGGGTTTTTTTTGGCAATGATACTGTTGAAACTTGAATTTAATGCTCTAATCATGCTCTCCATGCATGTCAAATTTCAATTCAGTTCAGCATCTCTATTCATTTTATCTATACCTGTCCTATTAGATTTTATATTTTTGTTGTACATTTTATGCATTGAACCTTATTAGTTGGATGGTTATCTACATATGGTGGATTGGCTTGAATTTGGTAAACATTGCTATGTGCACGAATAAAGAATTTTATCCAATGGCAAGATCAACGAAAAGTAATCCTATAAAGTAATAAAGTGATGTTAAGAATTGCCACTTTTGAACTTTTGTTGGTGGATTTTATCCTATATGTTCATGCTAAATTGCAGAAAGGAGAATTGTATTTGTTAACCATTGAGTTACGGGACCCCAACCTACATGCTATTGAATTTGTTCTTAAAGATGGTAGTCGTGAGAGATGGTTGGTTTCTATCTCCCTTTTCATTTTGATTTTTGCTTCATCCAGCCATACTCATGCTTGCACAGTAATCAAATGTTGACATGTGTTCTCTAGGTTGAAACTGAATCATGGGAACTTCCGGATAGAAATTCCTGAGACTGATCCAACTACTTTAATGTCCCCTATACCAAAAGAGCTGATTGAACGGAATGCATGTTTAGCTTGGGAAAGCAAGGGCAGGCCTGTGAGCTCGCCACAACAAGAAAAGGTAGTTCCACTTGTATATTATACAAGCTTTTTTCTGTTAAATCAGAAATGTTCTTGCCTTGCTGAACGTTAACTAAAGTTTTTGCATTTTTATATACTATTACAATGCATCTGTATATGGATTTTCCATGAATTGACAGGCTCCAACATGTGTTTTAGTATGGAAATTGCTGAAGTTGTACCATGGTTAGGGATCATTTTCCCCCTCTTTTCAGTCATATTTTATTTTCTACTTTGCATTTCTCATGTAGCGAGATTATGAAGATGCTTTAAGAGATCTGCAAAGTCAGATGTCGAAAGGAATATCCTTGAATGAGTTGCAGTGTAGTTTTTCAAACTCCAGTTCCAAAAGAATGGTTGATAATAGAGAGCAACTGAGGAGTGGAATGTCATACTCTTACAAAAGGAAGCATAATGTTGAGCAGTGGTTGCAAAAGCATTCCACAGGATCTGCCAAAAACGCTAGTATGCCAAATTCAGCTCTGATGGATCTTGTAGACAAATCTATGGGAGGAGACGATGTGGTTTCATGGATAAGTTATCATGTTGGAAACTATGAGATAGTGGTTAGTTTTCTTCTATTTCACTATTTTACATCAAAGAGAATAAATTCTGTAATGGAAGCTCCGTAACTGTTTGCCATGTTCAACATTAAAGTAGAATTGTCAATGAATTGCATCAGGTAGCATGGTTACAATTGAATTAGCTCTGTTTGGTTTGTTAGAAATTTGGATATCATGGACCCTTATGAAAGTCAAGTTATTTGATTTATTGATTGTTTGATTAACAAGGATGTTTTTCGATCAAATATCACTATGGTTCTGGTCCTTGCATGTTTGCAACCATCTTATATTTTGGGAGTTCTGAGTAGGACCCACATGGAGCCTGTGTAGCCCAGTTACATGGAGGATTGGAGTTGCTGAAGTCCCAACAATCAGTTATAAGGATACTTTCCAGAGGTGAAAAGGAAAAAAAGTAAAACTTCTTTTTGACTTTTCATTCTATCTTTGATTGTTTATAGGTCCTTTCAAAAATGGTTAGGGGTGAGTATCACATCTTCGTTGCTACGAATATGAGAGGTGCTATAGTGCTTCACTGGGGTGTTTCAAAATTGTCCCCTGGGGAATGGTTGGTGAGTATTTGTTTTCTGACTTTGGAGAATGAAATTTAATGGACAAGTAAACTGTTCATATGTTTCTGGGTATGAGTGGTACTTCACCTTAAAGCCAGCTTTTGTCATTCTTGCAGGCTCCACCACCAGAGATATTGCCTAAGAAATCAAATTTGGTTCCTGGAGCATGTCAAACTTATTTTACTGATATATCAACTGGAATGGGGTCCTTTCAGGTATGCAAATCAACGAATGCTGAATTTGTGATTTTGATTTTAACTGTCTTTTCGTTTTCAAGTAAACATTGCCTTAACGACTCTACCTTCAACCAAAAACAAAAAGGTTGTAGATATTAATCTGCAGCAAAGCAATTTGCTTGGTATCCAATTTGTGATATGGTCTGGTGGGTCTTCTTGGATAAAAAATAACGGCACAAACTTCTTTGTTGGCGTGACACCAATGATTTCTAGTGGAAAGGTACTGTGTTTCATATTGGGAATTATTACTCCTTTTTCCAACTCTTGCCAATTAACCGTACTAATAGCAGTTGTATCTCATGGTGGCATTGGTTTCTTGCGTGCATGAATATATGCACAAGCTGATCATGCAAGTTTGTTATATTTTATATCATTTAGACATGAGCTGCCAATCACTGGGATATCATTTGTGGATTATGCCTTATTGATGATCCTCCTAGTTTCAAAGATTCTCATGTATATGCCATGCCTCCTCAGAGTCGAGACAATTAATAGAGCCAAAGACATTATGATATTCGATATTTCCTCCATCCCTGTTTCAAAGATTCTTAGCTTTTCCTCTTCAAAATGAATTTACTTTTTCTATATCTGTTCTTTTCAGATTTTTTTTTTCCAAAAAAATAAAATATTGCTGTCATATGACAATTTATCTTCCAATTATGGGCAAGACATAGCCTAGTTGGTACACTTCTCCTTTAAAGAATAGGTTCGAAGGTCAAATCCTCCTCCCCCAACTTTGGTTAGTTTTAATTAATTATTTTTTCTTCCAAGTAATGGTTGCAGAAATCTAATTTTTACTATGTCATTCACAATGCACTAAGCAGACTTTAGATTTATGATGTGTTCATGGTGAAGACTGCTACATACCTTGTATGCAGGCCAGCGGAGATGGTGACGGAATTTTCAAATGGTTACTTGATGAAATATCTCAAAGAGAAAAGGAGGCTGAGAGGTCGTTGATGCACAGGTGATGCCAATATATGGTATCTGTATAGATCAATTTAAGTTATAACTAATATGCATGGAAAAGCTGGGCATTTTCATTGGGCCACTTATGAGTTTCTTTGTATGGTTATGGGCATAAGAATAGTGTCTTATGATGATAATGTAAAGTCGTTCTTATATGAAGCTAGGAAAATTGCCTTCACCTTCGTTCAATTCATCTTTTGAACATTATACTGATTTTACACAGATTCAACATTGCAACGGAACTCACAGAACGGTGCAAAAATGAAGGGGAGTTTGGGCTTGTTGGTATATTGGTATGGTTGAGGTTCATGTCATGCAGGCATCTCACATGGAACAAGAACTACAATGTGAAACCTCGGTAATTTGCCTTATACTGTACCTTCAATTAATAACTTTCTTGACGAAAAAGAGCTCCACATGGTCTGGTGATCGTCCCATGTCACATCTTTTTTTCTTTTTTTTTTGAATTGTCTGGGAAGAAGTAATAAAGGATTTGTGAGACATGCAGTTCGCATTTTTACCTTCTGTATTTGAATACTTATTATGACCTCTCCTTCCATCATTTTTAATGACC